TGTGTGCCAGAAGAGACTTTACAGCTGTGAAAGGAATGGTTAAGTGAAGAATTTGATATTATTTGTGTGAGACTTCTTCTGTTTCAGATATATTCATTTTTCCAACAAGAGTTAGTTGATTGTATTACTCAGTTATTATTGACTCTTTGCAGCTGTCAGATATTAATTAAATTTGCCATTTCCATCCTTCACATAAAATTTTTTTACTATAAAAATTTTCAAACATACACAGAAGTTAAGAGAATAGAACAATGACTGCACCCCCACTACCATATATCTAACACTTAGATTAAAAAAAAAAATTGTCAAGATTTTGTCATATTTGCTTCACCCATGATTTTTTTACTCCTCTTTTCCTCCCCTCTTTTTTTGTTCGAATAAAAAATTGTTTTCCTCTTTGACCCTAGGTGTACATTGCTAGATAAATCCTTCGTTAATTTTACTCATCATTGGTCATTGCATAGTCCCCCTTAATTTATTTATTCAGGTTTTAAATTACTTAATAACAATGAAAATAAATACTTAGGAACCTGTCACTCAAAACAAAAAGCTAAGTCCTGCTTGGAAACTAACGTGCATCTATAATCCTCTCCCCAGTCATCCCCCCTGCCTCCCTCTCCCCTGCCTGAAGTAAACTGTCACTCTGAAACCTGTGTTCACTAACATCTTTTGTTTTTATCAGGGATACACAGTAGAATCAAGACCATTGATACTTGGAGGTCAAAATGATGTGTAACTCACATGCTTTTGCTTCATTGAATTGATTTACATGATTTGCTAAAAACTATTTCTCTTTTAGTAGTTTTAATCTTTATGGCAAGTGTGTTGTATTAACATATTATTTAAACACTTTTTTATATATTCTTTTTTCAAAATGTTTATTTATTTTTGAGAGAGGGAGGGAGGGGCAGAGAGAGGTAGACAGAGAATCCCAAGCAGACTCCACACTGTCAGCGCAGAGCCTGACGTTGGGCTCTAACTCGTTAACCGTGAGATCATGAACTGAGCTGAAATCAGGAGTCAAATGTTTAAATGACTGAGCAACCCAGGCCCCCTAAAACCTTTTTAAAAACATTTATTTACTTTTGGAGAGAGAGAGAGAGAGAGACAGACAGACAGACTGTGCGTAAGCGGGGGAAGGGCAGAGAGGGAGAGAGACCCCCACGTGGACTTCACGCTGAATGCTGAGCCGGGCACAGGGCTCCGTCTCACAGCCGTGAGATCATGACCTGAGCCAAAACTAAGAGGCAGACACTCAACCGACTTAGCCTCCCAGGTGCCCCCTTAAAATATGGTTTTACATCTCTTGAGTCTCTTAGTCTAGAGTACTCTCTCCTTCCCCCAATTTTTTCTTCTTTACGCTGTTGACTTGTTTTTTTTTTTTAATTTTTTTTTAATGTTTTATTTATTTTTAGGAGAGAGAGAGAGACATCGTGAGCAGGGGAGGGTCAGAGAGAGAGGGAGTCACAGGCTGAAACAGGCTCCAGGCTCTGAGCTGGCAGTCAGCACAGAGCCCAACGCGGGGCTCGAACCCACGAACTGCGAGATCATGACCTAAGCGAAAGTCGGACGCTTAACCGACTAAGCCACCCAGGCGCCCCATACGCTGTTGACTTGTTGAAGAATCCTAGTGGAATCCTGCTACGGGATATCCCACATTTGGGATTTGTCTGTTTCCTTCTTAGTGTTCTTTAATTTATTCTAAAAGCTTGATTACATTCATTTTTAACTGTTTCTGGCAAGAATATTCCCTAAGCTGTGTGCTCTGGGTACTTCATATCTTATAGCATCAAAAGGCTCATGACATGATGTCTGTTTGTTTTGCCTTTATAAATGCTGAAATTGATCAGTGAGTTCAGGTAGTGACATGTAAAGTTTCCTGATAACCTTTCATTCATTGATGGTCATTTCAGAAATAGTTATCTATTTGGAGATGGTAATGTGGTGATTTTTATTTATTTTTTCTATATTTTTTTTTAACTGGAATTCTTCTGTGGAGATTTTTCCCTCATTAACTGAGACCATGTGAATACCTTGAAATATAGTTAGAGCAGGACTAAATGCTTAAATTATTTCTCTTTAATTTTAATTTTCAGAGTCAGGAATTGGTGTCCAGTTACCTTCAGTGGTGATTGATGAGTTATGGACTTTTACACAGGGGCGTGGCTTTCTCATTTTAAGTATTTGTATGAACTCCTGGGTCTTTATATATTCAGTTTCTTTCATTTTGTTGTAGTTATTTATTTTGCTTATATTGACCAGCACAGGCCCCTTCACGTTGGCTTTTGAGTCCTTTTTCTATTACCCTGGTAGCCTTAGATAGCATCTCCACTTTTTGGCAGAATAAAATGTGTGAGGCTTACTTTATGTATTTCTTACACCATACCTGGAATTAGTCATTCCTCCAAGAAGCCCTGTTTCCTTGTAGTGGGGAATGACTTAGAGACTGCAGTCTAGACCCAGAGTATTTACTGCTTTGGGCTGTCTTTGCCTCTAGGCCTTTTTGGTGGGTGGTGTTAGCAAAATAAGTATTTTTGAAAAACAAAGACCATCAAGTCATATTGACGTTTCAAATTCAGATTGAGGATTTCATACTTCTTTTTTGTGGGGGTTATTTTTTTGTTTTTGTTTTTTGGGGCTTAAAAATTTTTTTTTTACATTTGTTTATTTTTGAGAGACAGAGTGAGACAGAGTGTGAGCAGGGGAGGGGCAGAGAGAGAAGGAGACACAGAATCTGAAAACAGGCTCCAGGCTCTGAGCCATCAGCACAGAGCCTGACGCAGGGCCTGACTCCACGAACCATGAGATCATGACCTGAGCTGAAGTTGGATGCCCAACTGACTGAGCCACCTAGGTGCCCCTATTTGTTTTTGTTTTTAAACTTGTATCACTTCTCATACACTGAAAGCCTTATTAGTTTTTAACAGAGTAGTAACTTAATTATGTATTTGCTTTATCCTCATACAGATGTCTATTAATAATAATATATTATTAATATTAATATTGTGGTATACATTCATAAAAATGATTTTGCGGGCACCTGCGTGGCTTAGTCAGTTTAAGCATCTGACTCTTGATTTTGGCTCAGGTCATGATCTCATGGTTCATGGGTTCAAGCCCCATGTTGGGCTCTGTGCTGACGGAGGGATTCTCTTTTCCTCTCTTCCATCCCCCCCTCCCCCAACTTATACGGGTGTGTGCACTCTCAAAGAACTTAAAAAGAAAAAGGAAATTATTTTCTATATCATAGCAGTTTTGTAATATCAGTATTACTGCTGACATTAAGACCCCTGAATGACATTTAAGGTTTTTTTGTAGCTCTCTCTTCAACCTTATTCTATATGTCCATTAAGGAAATAGAGTCAAAATACAGTGTTTCAAAGTCACTTAAAAGGTTTTTAATTTTATGGTTATGTCAACAACTTGATATACAATTAGGTTTATTTGTTTCAGTTTTCAGTTTTTAGGGATTGCACTTCTAACTTTAAGTTTTTAAAAATGTGCAACATTTACATGATTTCAAAATCAAACTGTGTAACTGTATATATTCAGAGAATTTTCACTTCCATTCTTTTCCTCTGTAGGTAATCATTTCCTTTCCTCCCCTCATAGGTAGCCATTTTTATTAATTTTTGGTTATTTACCCAATGTTTTTAACATTTTTTAAAGAAAGGTAAAATCTGTCCATAAATTTGTATTTCTCCGCACTTCTTACACAGAAGTTGGCATACTGTAAGCGCTGCTCCACACTTCTTTGTTACATCTAATCATTTCATATGTGGATATAGTGGTTTCCCCAGTCCTGTTGTGGTGTGTGACATTTCAGTGTGTGTATCACCTTGTAGTCAACCAGCACCCCATCGATGGACATTTTGTCTCTGGTCTTTTGCCATTGTAAATAATGCTGGGATGAGTAGTTCTGTAAATAAGTAATTTCATATTTTTGCCAGTGTATTTTGGGATAGATTTCTAGACATGGGATTGGTAGGTTAAGAGTGCATGTAGATATTGTCCGTTCCTTTTTATCCACTTTGCCCCATTTTTGACTTCCACCGTGCTGCGTGGGAGTGCCTGTTAAGCAAACTGCCTCTTTACTTCACTTTATGTTGAGACTTGGAATTTTGCCAGCCTGATAGCTGGGAAGCTCCGTAGAGTTTTGCTTTGCATTTCTTTTAGTTTGGATTAAGTGAGTATTTTTCCATATGTTTAAAGGCCATTTTTATTTCTCTTGTGACACCCATAGATTTTCCCATTTTTCTGTCAGGTGGTTGGAATTTTTCTCAAAAAAAAAAAATGAGGAGCTCAATATACATTAGAGATAGCCTTTGTAATGTACTGCCAACCACTTTTTCACTTAGGGGATTGATGTTAAGCGTGTCTTAGTGGCAAAATGAAATGCAGAGAGAGGGAGGCTCTTAATTTCTGAACTGAAAGACCTAGGCTCTCAGTTCACGGTAGTGTTCATTTTGATCATACTTCTGGATCAGTACTCTTAGTGATAACTACTAAACTGTTCTTAAAGTTTACAGTGACTTAAGCATTACCTTCTGGTTAATTTGGGAGCACAGAATTCAAGCAGAAAATCTTAGAGATAAATCATCCTGTTTAATTCTGTTTCTAATACTATTTGATGACTTTTTGGAAAGTAAGAATATAAATTTCAGATTTGGAGGGATTATCTCAAAACCATTTCTGAGTTCTGTGGGGGTAATTATATGACTTGATTATTATTTCTCAGTCGGGGGCAACTGAAAGATTGTCTGCCTTGTACGAGAGACTAAGATGATAAGAGTCTGAGTTAATAGACTGAAAGACTTAAAAAACAACCCCTAGGGTGTTGCTTATGAATCTCAGACATTACATTCTTCATACATGAGCAGCTCTTCTTTTTAAAATCTAGCTTGGTAACGCAAACCTAAAACAATGAAGTGTCTTTTCTGGCAAAGCAGTTACTTTTCATGTGATTTCTAATTTAAAAATCAGATATTTTATTTTTCTAGAAGAACCTAACAAGACATGTGACAGCAGTAACACTAGTGCTACCACTACCTCCATCCAGCCTAATCTGGAAAACAGTAACAGCAGCAGTGAACTAAATTCTTCCCAGAGTGAATCTGCTAAGGCAGCCGATGAGCCTGAAAATGGAGAAAGAGAGTCTCACACACCTGTCTCTGTTCAAGAAGAGATAGGTAAGAACACACTTCATCCATTAAAGCGAGCTTTTTAATTTTTTTAATTTTTAATTTTTTGAATAAAAGTTTGTTGGGGTGGGAAGACTTAGATTTTCTTTTCCTTTTTTCTTTTTTTTTTTTTTTTTTTTAGCTCAAATGGCACTTGCACTCATTGTTTTTATTTAAAAAAAAAAAATGCAAAAGCACACAGGAAAAAATCTTTTTACTACCCCCTCCCCAAAGGTAACCACTGTCAACAGTTTGGTGTTTAACATTTTCTATCTTTTTCCATGTGGTTACATAATGAATGCGTATTTACAAGAAGGTTTATTTTTATTTTATTTTATTTTATTTTATTTTTTTACATAAATGGAATCATTCTGCATGTATTGTTCTGCATCTTGCTTTTTTTCCATATAGGGGACCTTTTCATGATATAAATTGAATTCATTATTATTTTTTTTTTTAACTGCTGCATGGCACTCCACAGTATGGACAAACAATAATTTATTTACTATTTCTCTGTTAGTGGACATTTAGGCTGTGAACAGTTTCTTTCTTATTACAAATAGTGGTGCTTTTTTAAACATCCTTAGCATATATCTTTGTGTATTTTTGCAAGTATTTCTGGCAGTATAGGAACAGTAAGTGGAATTGCTGGGTCAAATGGTAGGTACATTTTTAAAATAGCGGTGACTGCTGCTTAATTGTACATTAAAAGGGATTTATGCCAGTAATTTACATGCAGAGGTATTTCTTCATACATACGAAGAAGAATTCAACATCATCACCTTTTACATTTTTGCTAATGGTGAAAAGTATTTCATTTAAAAATTTGCATATCGTTGCTTACTAATGAGTTTGAGTTCCTTTTTATGTGTTTGTTGAACTTTCAGTGAATTGCTTAATCCTATCTTTTGTTCATTTTTTCCTATTGAGTTTTGATAGTTTTTCTTAGTGAACTTCAGGAATGCTTTATATATTATGGCTATTATCTTTGATTTTATGTGTATACTTACATAGTTACTGCTTGCTATGAACTCTTCCTGTTACCTTGTTATACAGTTATTTTTACATAGTTACATTTCTTTCTCTCTTTAGGGTTTCTCTGGATTTTGTGTTTTACTAAGGAAAACCCTATCCCAAGCATATACATATGTTTTACAGTAATTTCACATAATACTTCTGTAACTTTGTTTTTAATCCTGCTGTATCATTTTGTGTATGGTATGAGATGGAGATCTGTTTTAATTAGAACTTCTTTCCAGTTGCAAGCTACCAAACCAGCTTAAGTAGCGTAAGTGAAAAGGGAATGTAATTAGCTCATGTAATTGGGAAGTCCAGACCATCATCAGGCATGACTGGACCCCCAGGTATCAAAGCTCTTCTGTCTTCTTCTCCTCTTTCTCTTCCACCTTTTGATCGGCATATGTTTGTGTGTTAATTTCATTCTCTCCTAATGCAGACAGGTTTTTTCCAAGTGGCAGGGAAGATGGCACCAGCGGTTTGTATTCTTATCTTTCCAAGGTCTGTGACCCAAAGGCAAAGCCCCTACTCCTGCTCCAAATCAAAAGTCCTTGAGGAAGGAATTTGAGTGGCCTATCTTGGACACATTGTTCCCACCCCTGTGGCCAGGGCAGGCAAGGTATTATACTTGATGGCTCCAGCAAAAGTGTGTAACTGGAGTGGGGTAGGAATGGTTTTCCAAAGAAAGAGGGATGCTCTTTCTCTACACCCTTCAGTAGCTCAGCACAAACATATTTACTCAAATGCAAAAACGGTTCTGCTGAACACAGTGCAAAGATCACACCCACAACTGAAGAGGTTTTCAAAAACTTCCCAAAATTACATCTGGTAGTTGTAACTTTATCTAGAACTTCTGGGTGTTTTGTATTGTTTTTGATTTGGTCTGGATGTAGCTTCTCTCACACTCACAATCCATGAGCCAAATTATGAATGTAAACTGCCTGTAACATTTGTTATCCTGGTAGTGGTAGGTGTTCTTTGATGAAGTGGGCTGCCCTTGGCAGTGGCTGTAGGTGAGGTGTGAGGAGTACATGCGAGGGGCGCCTGGGGGGCTTCGGCTCACTTCACGATCTCACGGTTCGTGGGCTTGAGCCCTGCGTCGGGCTCTGTGCTGACAGCTAGCTCAGGGCCTGGAGCCCGCTTCAGATTCTGTCTCCCTCTCTGACCCTCCCCGGCTCACGCTGTCTCTCTTTCTCTCTCAGAAATAAATAAAACATTAAAAAAAAGAGAGAGAGAGAGAGAGAAGTGCATGGGAAGATCCCCCTTCTAGCAGTCTGGTTCCTGCTGCTGTTGTCTGGAATGGCGGGCTGGGGATTACTGGAGGTTTAAGTAATCATCTCACCAAGCATGGCAGATTTGGGTTTTTTTCTGGCAGTAGTACTTCCTGGTAGATTGCCTGGGTACCCAGCCCAGCACCTGATACCCAGAAGCTCTCTCAAGGTCTCCGAAGGTAAAGTCCCTCTACTTACCCTGTGGGTCTGCTCTTCAGACCAAATTCCCTAGCCTTCGGGTGAATAAAGTTTGCCTAGGCTTCTTCCTCCTGCCATTCTTAAACAGTGAGCTCCAGAGGCTGGGTTAAAGCTGCTCTGTACTCTGCCTCCAGGCTGCATGGAAGTGATTCACTCCTTTATAATAGAAGGAATGTGGCCTCTGGGCAGGGGGTGTTGGATAAGCCTTGTTCCCTTTCTCTTACTCCTAGGGATGATTTTTATACCTCCTTTCCCTTATTTGAATTAAATTTAGCAAATGTCAGAGGTGCCTGGCTGGCTTAGTTGAAAGAGCTTATGACTCTTGATCTCAGGGTCAACTCTTTATTTTAATATTAATTTATTTTTGAGAGAGCACAAGCTGGGGAAGCGAAGCAGGCTAACAGCAAGGAGCCTAGTGTGGGGCTCAAACTCATCATGACCTGACCTGAGCCACCCAGGTGCCCCTTGGGGTGGACTCTTGATCTTTGGTTCCTTGAGTTTAGCCCCCGACATGGGGGGTAGAGATTACTTAAATAAATAAATAAATTAAAAAAAAAAAAAAAAACACCTTAGCAAAATGTCAAAGGATGGACTCTCAGGTTCTTAGTTGAAGAGCTTCTCTTAAAAAGCACTGTGCCTTCCCTTTTGCTTTTAGGAAGTCCAGCCTAGATCATATGCTTTCTAAAAAGTCTTTATTTTAGGACTGTATTGATGGTCCCAGGAAATAGCCACTATAGTTGAACATCTTGACATAAACTTCAGCATGGGTAGACTCATGGTCTGAGACCCAAGAGAAAATTGATAACCAACTGCTTTGCTGTCACACATCGAAGGTTTCTGGCTTTCAAGCCTGGGCTGGAAAAATACCCGATACCTCTACCCTATCTTTATTTAGTTAGTGCCATATTTCGGGCTCAAAAATTTTTTAAATATTCTACTAGATTCTTTAGAATTATTGGTTGTGAGTGACAGAAATCTACCAGACTTGCTTAAAATAAAAAGGGAATTTAATCGACTCATGCATCTGGGAAGTCTAGTGGAAGTGCCTGGGAGCCAATAAGGTTATCATGGGTCTTCCTCTTCCTCTCATCCACACCCTCCCCAGTAGCTTATTGTCTCTTACTGTTGAAACTTTTTTCTATGTTGTGGGATAAAAGTAGACAATCTCTAATTTACACTCTTTCTGCTCACTAACCCTTAAAAAGCAAGACCAGGGTGCCTGGCTGCCTCAGTCAGAAGAGCATACAACCTTTGGTCTTGGCGTCGAGATTTTGAGCCCCACGTTAGGTGTAGAGATTATATACATACATACATACATACATACATACATGCTGGGTGTAAAGATTACATACAATAAAATTTTGTTTTATTTTATTTTTAAATTTTTAACGTGTATTTATTTTTGAGACAGAGAGAGACAGAGCATGTGTGGGGAAGGGGAGAGAGAGAGGGAGACAGAGAAATCTGAAATAGGCTCCAGGCTCTGAGCTGTCAGCACAGAGCCCAATGCATAGCTCAAACTCACGGACTGCGATATCATGACCTGAGCTGAAGTCGGTTGCCCAACCTACTGAGCCACCCAGGCGCCCCCAATAAAATAAAAATTAGTGTGCTGAATGGCTTGGGCTACATAACCAGATCTGGTCAGTCACTGTGGCCAGGTAGTGATCTGCTCTCTCTGGCCAACCTGGGTGACATTGTTTACCCGGTATGGCAGGATACTTGTTTTGTAGCTGTAGCCCTGGCTGAATATTATGACTAAAGTAGGGGAAAAGCATATCTCCAAAGGATAAAATTAAGAAATGCTTTCCTGATCTTTATATTTTCCAAAATAGTTTTCCCATTCTAATTATTTTTCTCTACTCAAAATGCCATTTTTATAATATATAGTAAAATTTTTGTTTGGCCTTTCATTTGCCAGTGCCACACAATTCTTAATTTTAAAAAGCTTTATAATTTTTTTAAATGTTTGTTTTTGAGAGAGAGAGACAGAGTGGGAGAAAGGGAGGGGCAGAGAGTGGTAGACACAGAATCTGAAGCCAGGCTCCAGGCTCTATTGCAGAGCCCAACATGGGGCTCAAACTCACAGACCATGAGATCATGACCTGAGCTAAAGTCAGATGCTTAACTGACTGAGCCACCCAGGAGCCCCAAATTTTAAAAAGCTTTAAATTTAAAAGAGAGAGAAATCTTGTTCAGCTATCTGGCCAATGGAAATTGGATAGTGATGCAAAAGTTTTAAGAGTGTAGAGGGGTGCCTGGGGGGTGCCTGGGTGGCTCAGTCAGTTAAACGTCCGACATTGGCTTAGATCATGATCTCACGGTTTGTGGTTTCGAGCCCCGTGTCGGGCTCTGTGCTGACAGCTAGCTCAGAGCCTGGAGCCTACTTCAGATTCTGTCTCCCTCTCTCTCTGACCCTCCCCTGCTCATGCTGCCTCTCTTTCTCTCTCTCAGAAATAGATAAAACATTAAAAAAATTTTTTTTAAATGTAGAGAAATTCTCAGCCAAAGGGAGATTCATAGAAAAGGAGAAATTGTTCCTTGGCGTAACACTCTGTCACTTAAAAAAAATTAAGTTATTATGAAAATGTGAGAGGTCTTTATAATATTAAAAAAACTAATTTAGTTGATTTCCATGTATAATTATTTGTATACACAGATAACTATCTAGATTCCTTAGGTGAAAATTCACTTGGCATTAATGTTTATAAGCTTTGAACTATTATGTATTTAAAGAGAATTTCAGTGGACATCTTTCTGAAATTAATTATACCATTTACTTTTTGTACAGAATCCACATTGATTATATGAGGCAACATTTAATAGTGTACATTTTGAGTTATGTTTATAAATTTGTAGCAGCCGTCATGTTTTCTAGTAGATGTGCTTTGAAACAGATAACCTGGCATGTTTGATTTTCTGTAAAATAATAAATGACTCACAGTAAAGTTCTGACATACTTTCTTTTAAGTAAAACCCTTAAGAATTAATATATTTGCTTTGGCTATTCAAGGACTTTTTATTTACTTTCTGGATCTTAGATGTGCATCAGATAGGAGTTTTGGATAAATAAATTGTTATAACTTACTTAGGCTTACTTTTGACTTTTCATTTGATAACAGGTGATTTCAAATCAGAGAAGTCTAATGGAGAAATAAGTGAGTCTCCTGGAGCTGGAAGAGGGGCATCTGGGTCAACTCGAATTATCACCAGATTACGGAATCCAGACAGCAAACTCAGTCAGCTAAAGAGCCAGCAGGTGGCAGCCGCAGCCCACGAAGCAAATAAGTTATTTAAGGAGGGCAAAGAGGTATGTGTTTTCTGCTTAAAACAAAAATCTCTGGAATGTGAAATAATTGTATTTATCATGCCTTAAAAATAGGGATGGGAAGTTTGGAGACCTACTTTTGAATTCTATTTTCTCTATTTCCAAGAACATAGTGGGTAACAAGATTAAAAGTGGTTAGGTTTATCCTATATTACAGTTAAGTATAGCTGTGTACCCAAATTTCAGTTCATGCAGGGAAATGTTATAAATGGGTGGTATACTTTCTTTCTGTATGGTCAGTTTTATTGTATATAATTCTAAAAAGATAGTCTTCTTTTACACATGTGGTAATGAGTACCCTATTTGTGGGCTTTAGTAAAGTTATAGATGATTAAAAAAATTTTTTAACATTTACTTTTTTTGAGAGACAGTATCAGTGGGGGAGGGGCAGTGAGAGAAGGAGGCACAGAATCCGATGCAGGTTCCAGGCTCTGAACTGCCGGCACAGAGCCCAGCGCAGGGCTCAAACTCACAGACCGCAAGATCATGACCTGAGCCAAAGTCGGACGCCCAACAACTGAGCCACCCAGGTGCTCCAAGAGTTACAGATGATTTAATGCTCAGTTCTGGTTATCCTAATTTTAGCTGAACCTGTGCCTAAAGGATGGGACTCTGCTTGCTCCTTGATAGCAGAGTAGAGTGCATAGAACGGCACAGCATCTTAGCTCTGATTATGAACAAATAGATTGATTTAGCTAGGATTTAGTAATTAAAAAACATTTTTTTTACATAATCTCCATACTCAATGTGGGGCTCGAACTCAAAACATCAAGATCAGGAGTCTAACACTCCACCAACTGAGCCAGCCGGGTACCCCAGCTAGGACTTAGTATTTGCCCCCCAGCCAGCCAGGTGGCAGAATAATGGCATAATGTGCCTCCCAGATTTAAGAATTATTTGCAGGGTAGATATGTAAGAATATACAACATTCTTTTCTAAACGCCATAGGAGTTGCTTTAAAGCAGCAACTTTCAAGGTGGTTTTTCATTCTAAGCCTCATTATGACATTTTTCATGGCAACCCAGGACTCATATTCAATAGTTTCCTGAAAAAGTATTTTACCTTGCTGTGTGTGAAGCACTCTGGTTTTTCTCTTTTAGTCCACTACTGAGTATATTATACTTTGTTGTTTATAAAGTTGAATATGATCCACTGTTGATTTCATGGTTCACTAAAGGATTGGGATCAACTGTTTGAAAACATGTTTTAAAGTATCTGTGGGCTCTGATGCTAAAGCTGGGATGATGAAAGAAGCAGAAGAAAAGGTATTTCTAGGAATACGTGCCATGCTTTCTTTCCTTTTCCCCTAACCTGTACATTGTAGGCTGGAACTAATGATTGGTGAATGACGTCAACATTTAGTTTTTTGTCTATATTTGAGATGCATGAAAATACTTAATAATGTCTGACATATAATAGAGATTCTTTTTGTGGGAAGATCTTGGTTGTTTAATTGTAAACAATTAGCTTTAGCTTTTAATCTGGCTTACAGATTTCAGAAGTTCATGGGATACCTGGGTGGCTTAGTCGTTTAAGTGTTTGACTTGATTTTGGCTCAGGTCATGATCTCACAGTTTTGTGAGTTCGAGCCCCATGTTGGGCTCCATGCTGACAGTGTGGAGCCTACTTGGGATTCTGTCTCTCCCCCTCTCTCTCTGCCTCTTCGCTGTTCATAGACTCTGTGTCTCTCTCAAAATAAATAAACTTAACTTTTCAAAAGTTCAGTCATAGTATATACCTTATTTGGAATGATAAACTACAAATTATTGAAAGACAATTGATCAAGTTTACATATTTGATAGGAATAATGAGTCTATTTATCTTCTTGGTCAGGTACTGGTAGTTAATTCTCAAGGAGAAATTTCACGGCTGAGCACCAAAAAGGAAGTGGTCATGAAAGGAAATATCAACAATTATTTTAAGTTGGGTCAAGAAGGGAAGTATCGAGTCTACCACAATCAGTACTCCACCAATTCATTTGCTTTGAATAAGCACCAGCACAGAGAAGATCATGATAAGAGAAGGCATCTTGCACATAAATTCTGCCTGACTCCAGCAGGAGAGTTCAAATGGAATGGTTCTGTCCATGGGTCCAAAGTTCTTACCATATCTACTCTGAGACTGACTATAACCCAACTGGAAAACAATATTCCTTCATCCTTTCTTCATCCAAACTGGGCTTCACACAGGTAAAGGAAACTAAGGTTCATTTATTGCTGTGAATATACTAAATATTTACGAAATGCTTTTTGCAGGTGCTCACTTTAAACTTGTTACCAGTAAATTGAATGAAGTCAGTTTAGTCAGCAAAACCCTGAGGACATGAGAGAGGAGAGTGTACTTCCAAGTTATCGAAGCAACAGTTAGCATTTAGAAGATTTCCAAAACAAAGTCTTTATCCCTGGAGTCAAGTGACGGCAAGACAAAGTTCTAGAACATTATAGAACATTTAAGGAGTTTAAAGACTAACTGACCTCTGGGATTCCTTCTAGTGTTCAAACTCTGACTCTCTGAGTTAGGAACTTCCTGTAGCAGTGTATTTATACTTGCTTAGCCTAGAAAAATATGCTCTGTGAGGTAGAGTTATGAATTACAGCACTTGTGCTTTTGATTGAAGACCAGCAAGTGAAAGAATTATTTGCCTTCTTTTGACATACAGGGCGAATTGGATCAAAGCAGTTCAGATGTGCAGCAAACCCAGAGAGTTTGCATTGGCTTTAGCCATTTTGGAGTGTGCGGTTAAGCCTGTTGTGATGCTGCCAATATGGCGAGAATCTTTAGGACACACCAGGTAAGTGAGTTCTGAGCCGTGTAGACGGTGGACCACGCTCCCTTTTGGAATATTAGTCTATCAATAAGGGAAGTTCATGTATTTAAAAGGCCGTATTACATGTTAAATTTAACTCTTCTTGGCCTCATTTTCCCTTCTATGAGATATGTAACGTGAGTAAATATTTCTTCTTTGTGGTAGAGGACTGGATGAAGATCGAAAGAGATTTGGTATGTGAAAATTGAAAATACTTCAAGTAGAAAGCATTTTTATTGAATAGAAAGAGTATTCACATTTAAGATTCTAGAATGTTTCAGGTACTGTGCTAGGCATGTGATTTACCTGGAGTTGAATGTCCAGAGATCGATCATCTCCTGGGCGAACCCAGAGCTCTGTGACTTCAGCAGATACTTAAAAAAATGGATTAGGACTTGAATCTGCTTTTTAGCTCTAATGGGTTTAACTTTAATTAGTCTTTAAAAAGTTATTATTAGGAAAGTAATAAGAAATGGTAAAAAATGTAAATTACTACTCAAAGTGAAAAGTAAGAATCCTTTTACTTTCTCTGTCCCTCTACAGAATCCATTCCAAAGGTATAACACTGTTTTTTTTTTTATATGAATATATTTTGTATTGCTTTCCACATCTGTGTTTTATAACGAAAAGTTTTATTGTTTTCCAAGAAAAATCTTTTAAGAAAAGTTGTTTCCACCTGCTAAATTTTCATCTGCTAAAGCTTGCTTTCATGATTTTTTTTGTGGGGGTGGGGGTTCTTCACATAAAGTTTATGGATACTTCTTTTCTCTACTTTTCCCCTCTTATTTTGTATGTAATTGTTGCTACCAATAGAGGCTTTGACAAATGGAATGGACTTAATTCTCCCTAGAGTTAAAAAAAAGAGAGTTGAGTTCAGATGCTACAGATGCTGCTCCCTGGGAGAGGAGAGCTGAATGGGTGGCATACCTTTATTCCACTTCTTTTTAAAATTTTATTTATTTTCTTTCAAATTTTTATTGAAAATCTAGTTAGTTAACACCTTTATTCTACTTCCTGTTGATCTCTTTTATTACGGTAGAACAAGGAGAGAGCCCAAGGCAAGGGTGAAGCAATACTCTTGAGTCTCTGTTGCACCTTCTTCCAGTTGCCTCCAGATAGGACCAGAACACTCCTGCCCAGCTGTTGTCTGTCCATCATCCGGAAGCTGATGGTGGTGGACCGGGCAGCCATGTTTCTGGTGACAGAGAATAGCACTTTGAGAACTAGAGCTCAGCTAAATGGTGCTAAATAAACTCCAGTACTCAAATGTAACTTACAGGGGCCAAATCCTATCTCTTATAAACTCATTTCTAAATTTTAAACATTTTAATGGAAGATGGAATTCAGCTTTTTTTTAAAGTCAAGGTTGTTGTTTTTTCCCGGGTTTGTCACTTTGACTAGTCTTCTAAACATGTTACTTAAAGTTATAAAAGTATATCATGAATTTTATTTGTATTAGCATGACACATCTGGTAATATATATGAAATAACTTTTTTTAAATGTTTGTTTATTTTTGACAAAGACGGAGTGTGAGTGGGGGAGGGGCAGAGAGAGAGGGAGACAACCGGATCTGAAGCAGGCTCCAGGCTCCAGGCTCCGAGCTGTCAGTACAGAGCCCAACATGGGGATTGAACTCAGTGAGCTGTGAGATCATGACCTGAGCTGAAGTCGGATGCTTAACTGACTGAGCCACTCAACCACCCCAGAAAGAATTCTTTTTAATTTTTTTTTAATGTTTATTTTTGAGAGAGAGAGGGAGGGACAGAGTGCAAGTGGAGAAGGGGCAAAGAGAGAACGAGACACAGAATCCAAGTCAGGCTCCAGGCTCTGAGCTGTCAGTACAGAGCCTAATGCAGGACTTGAATTCACAGACTGCGAGATCATGACCTGAGCTGAAGTTGGACACTTAACTGACTGAGCCATCGAGGCACCCCTAGAATACTCTGAGTTTTTAAAAAAATTAGACACTGAGATTCAGAAAAATTAGAAATTAGTAATAAGACTTTCACTTTTCTCAGTACTCTCCTCAAAAACTTTCAGGTGACAAACCTCTAAGATTTGCCCCTAAAGGACAGTCTGGAAATTCAACCAGGTATTTTATTCTTAAAATGGTTGTTTATTGTGATAGTCAATAATAAAGCTTTGAGAGCCTTCTAAATATCTTAACAGTTACAGCACATTGAAAAAATAATGATAAGTTATGATTTGTTTTTGAAAATTAAAAGGTTTTTGTTGGAAAAACAATATTAGATATGAAAGCATACCTACATAAATGGAAATATAGGAATACTCCATCTTAACAATATTAACTTTCCTCATGTTACTAACATAAATTAATTTTGATAGCATTAATAATTATCATTGGGCTCTCTGCAGAATTTGAGAAGATGATTAAGAAATTTATATTGAGGTGTGGGGTGCCTGGGTGGCTCAGACAGTTAAGTGTCCAACTCTTGATTTTAGCTCGTCATGATCTCATAGTTCATGAGTTTGAGCCCCACATCGGGCTCTGTCCTGAGAGCTGCTGAGACTGCTTGGGATTCTCTGTCTCCCTCTCTGCCTGCCCCTCTCCTCTCATGTACTGTCTCTTTCAAAATAAATAAACTTAAAAAAATTTTTTAAAGAAACATTTATATGGAAAAGTGCAGTAATAGGGTAAATTTGAATGACAGGGTGGAAAGCTTGTCCTGTCAGTCAACAAAACTTACTTGGTAGCTGTAAGAATACTGTGGTGTAGATACAAAGATAAATAGACTAGTGGTGCAGAGTTAACAATCCAGAAAGAGACTAGCCCATATATGGAAATATAATAGATAGTAACATTAAAAAGGATGAATTCTTCAGTAACAGGTGTGATGAGGAAATTTGAGTTATCTCCATAGTGGAAAATTGGATCTTATTCTTTGTATGATACACATCCCATATCTTTATAGTCACCTCCAGGTGGAGCAAATCCTAAATGGCAAAAAGCAAAACTGCAAAAAGAAAATGTAAAAGATTATCTTAATGATTTTGGAATGAAGAAAGTTCCCTCCTTCTCTCCCTTTCTGGCTCCTCTACTTCCTTCTCTTCTTCCTTCCTTCCCACTTCCCTTTTTCCTTTGCCTCTTTCCTATATTCTTTCCTTTTCCCTTTCTCCCTTCCTGCCTTCCATGTTTCATCCTTTTCTCTTACTCTTGATTGCTTTCTTTCCTTCCTGATTCATTATGTCCCAGAACATACCTACGTGTGGGATTATTTCTTCCATTTATAAGCTGGTATCAATCAGATAAGAATAAGTGTACCCTTATGTGTCTGTGTATTTGCAGTTACAAATGACATTCTTTAAGTTTTTTCTTTATGTGTTTTGAAAGAGAGAGACAGTGCAAGTGGGGAAGGGGCAGAGAGAGAGGGAGAGAGATTCCCAGCAGGCTCCATGCTACCAGTGCAGAGTCCAACACAGGGCTTGACCTGAAGAAACCATGAGATCATGACCTGAGCCGAAACCAAGAGTCAGATGCTTAACCGACTGAGCCACACAGGCACTCTTAGAGATAACTGTAATTTTTAAGTGTTACTCCCTTACATTATGTAGTTTTATCACATATGTATAGATCAGTGAATGGTGGATTGTTTTCTGTTGTTTGAGATTTGTAATAATATATCATTCTAAAAAACTAAGCCATAGAAAGGTTAAAGGTATTTTTATTTTTTTATTGTACTATAATCAAAAGAGGGTTAGTCTTCACAATATATTCAAGAACTTCTACAGTTCAGAAAGAAAAAAAACAAACTATTTAATAGGAAAAAAGGCCAAAAATACAAACATAATTCACAGAAGAGGAGGCACAAATAGCCAAAAAAATGAAAACCTATTTTATCTTTCCTGGTGAGATAAGGTAAATGCACATGAAAACTAGGGTCTATTATTTCATACCCTTCAGGTTGTTAAAATTTTAAAGAATATTGATAAATACGTGACATAATAGGAAGAGAATTCTGATACTCTGCTGATAAAAGAGCCAGTAGTTTGCTGGTTACTGCAACCATTTCAGAGAATAATTTGGAAAAAACAAAGTTGAAAATGCAATTCCGCTCCTAATTAAGTACCTTGAGAGATCTTACATGTGTGTATGAGAAAACTATAGGAAGATGTTTCTTATACTATTTTATGATGGTGAAATTCGTTAATAGTTCCTGAATGGGATAAAGAGGCACATTCAAGTTATGGTGCGAGTCTATAACGGGCTCTTTTACGGCAGTGAGGCCAGAGCAGGTGGTAACAGGACTGGCTGTCATGCACGTACAAGAGAGTGAAAACACTTCTTTTCCTTTAAAAAAAAAAATGTAGTATGATCAATTTATGTAAAGTTTAAAAGCAGGTATTCTGATATCATGTTAAAATATTATTTGAGGATAGAGATTTGAGGTAAAAATTTATAGAAATGTAAGAGTTATATGCTTGAAACTTAAGAAATACACTTTTAAATAAATAACAAATAATCAAAGAAAAGTCGTAATGGAAACCAGTCAACATTTTGAATTGAATGTTCATGAGACTACTACATACACTAAAATTTGTAGGCTGCCACTAAAGAGTACCTAGTGTGCACTCAGTGTGTAGCCTTCAGTGTGTACATTAGAAAGGAAAACTTGCAAATTAGTTAGCTAGGCATGTGTCTACAGAAGTCACCTCAAAGAAGGGAAATATTAAGAACTACTGACTATTAAATATTTGATGAAATAGAAAACATATCTTAGAGATCCCATTATAATCAACAAACCTCTCATGAGATTATCAGGAAAGAAAAAAAGCAAAGGGAAACACAAGTAACTAACTTCAATAATAGAAAAGAGGATATACCAGTCAGTATTTCTGATTTCACTTTTTCTGGCTCTAGGGATTTTAAACCCTCAGAGGGTCCATTAACATCATATTCAGGCCTCCTACATCCATAGAAGAAGGACCCACTGGGCTTCTAGTTTTGGGTAGAAGGATTGGGCAA